AAATTTATATATGTGTATTTATATGTTTTTAGATATATATTTTTTTTTATACACGTACACATGCAGTTAATTTTTAATGCCTCTTATGAGCTGCTGGTGGATCTGGCTGAACACCCAGCGCTGCACCATGGGTGTGATGGAGGAGAAGTCTGATAAATCAACACAATTCAAGTAATTCGAGTAAGGGCTTAAAGCCCTGCACAGGACCTAGAGCTGCTCGTGGTGGTGGGTCCCTACGTCCATTCAGGGCTTGTCCCAGGACCCAAACATCCCCGTTTTGCAGGAGGACAGGTCCCTTCATCCCCTCTGAGCACCCCTCGAGGTGCCGATGCTGATGGCCACTGTTTTCTCCCCGCAGCCTGCATGATGAACGTGCACAAGCGCTGCGTGATGAACGTCCCCAGCCTGTGCGGGACGGACCACACCGAGCGGAGGGGACGGATATACATCAGGGCTGACATCGAGAAGGATGTGCTCACCGTCGTGGGTAGGTCTGACCCCGCTGCAACCCTCACTGCTGGGTGCAAGGAGTGCAATGCCCAGATTTGAGCCTCCACTGGGCACACTGGGAGCACTGGTGGGGCTCCAGGGGCTGTGTCTGCACCAAGCAGCTGCTCCAGCTCCCTCTGCTCACACTGCTTTTTGAATTGTGCCCAGTTCCAGTGTCCCGGAATGGGTGGCAGAAAGTCCCTCTGTTTGGCTGTGTTTGAAATGTGTGTTGGCTGTGTTGTGCTGTGCGTGGGATGACAAACACCCATCTTTCCATGTCCCCAGTGGTACCCATACAGGTCTTGGTGGGATCTCGGGTGGTCCTTGTGTCTGACCAGAGCTTTGCAACCTCCTTCCACCCCTTTGGAGACTCCATGGCCTCCCTGCTGGGGCCAGAGTAAGCTCCACAGAGACCCTGTGGACCCAAAAGCCACCCACAGGGACACCCCACGTCCCTAATCCGGGTCTCCTCTGTCCTGGAACTCCTCCATCCTCATTTTGTGGCAGGGAGCAGAATTATCCCGCCTCTAAAGGCTTTTACCACCCGGATTTCGAGTTCCCAGAAGATGTTACTTCCCCCGTGACCTGTAAGCATCTCATGAAGTGTATCCCATGTTCTCACCCGCTGCATGGAGCGGTCAGAGCGGGGATGTGGCTGTCCCCATGGGGTGCTGGTGGCAGCCCCCTGTGGTGCAGGCAGGGGCAGGAGGCAGGCAGCACACCCCCAAGGGTGATGGGGGACCGAGGGGAGCACTGGTCCATGCTGGGGGGGCAGGCAGTGGCAGGGGTGACCCCAGCTTTGTGTTAGGGAATGCTCAGATGGGATTTGGGAGTGTGGAGAAGAGCCAGAATCCTTCCTGGCCTAGAGACACGTCAGGAATGTTTTCAAGAAAATAGCCAAGTTATTGAAAATGTTAATGAAAAGGTAGAAAATATTGATGAAAAAATAGACAAGATTAATGAAAAAATTGAAAATATTAGTGAAAAATGGGAAAATATGTATTTTTTTTCCCCCATTTTATCTTATTTTATATTTGTCCTTGAAGCAGAGCTTCAGTGAACCACACAGAGCTGTCTCTCGCCGGGGTCCCACTTCCCCTGCGCCCTCATTGCAGGGATGGGGTGGGACTGGTCCCCAGTCGCAGCGATGGGGTGCAGAGCTCGCCCTCCCACCATCACCAGTTCCCATGGCTTTGCTGGTGGGGGGGAAGCTCCCCAGGCCTGTTCTGTGCAGCTGGAATTTCTGTTCCTCAGCTGGGCTGGAAAGGCAGTTTTATTTCTGTCCCTCTATGGAGGTGTTGGTGAGAAGGTGTCATCTGCTGGCTCTGCCAGCGAGGCTGGGGACATCCTGTGCGCTGCCGCATTGCTTATGGAGGGGTGGAAGCATTTTGGGGGGGGAGTATGCTGAGGTGGAGGCTCTGCCTTTTCCCACCATCTCATGAGGATTAACCTGGGATGTTGGGTTGCCCAGAGGGGTCTGTGCTGCCGACTGTGATGCCAAAAAAGCTGCTGGTGTCTTCCTGCAGGCCCTGCCGTTAATCCTCCCTTCCTGCAGGAACCTGGGTACCAACTGTTAGCATCCTTCCCTGGGTACCAGCCATGAGCATCCCTCCTTGGGTACCAGCCGTGAGCATCCCTTCCTGGGTACCAGCCGTGAGCATCCCTCCCTGGGTACCAGCCGTGGGCATCCCTCCCTGGGTACCAGCCGTGAGCATCCCTCCCTGGGTACCTGCCATAAGCATCCCTCCCTGGGTACCAGCCGTGAGCATCCCTCCCTGGGTACCTGCCATAAGCATCCCTCCCTGGGTCCCAGCCGTGAGCATCCCTCCTACATGAGCATCCCTCCCTGGGTACCAGCCGTGAACATCCCTCCCTGGGTACCAGCCGTGAGCATCCCTCCCTGGGTACCAGGGGCACAGCTGGGGAGCAGCTCCTACCGGGAGCCCAGCCCAGCACAGGGGGGCTTTTGCTTGAGCAGATTTCTGGTGGGAAACACAGTTTCTGCATTTTCTGCAGAAATTTCAGTTTGGGGTGGATTTCTGCATGGTGATGGGTTGGTGATGGAGCACCCAAGCCTGACAGGGGTGGGAAATGACCCCCACCACCACGGTGCTTGGGCTGGGGGCTTAGGGGTGCAGATGGAAGCTGAGGTGCTTCCCCACCCCTCTGCCCCTCCAGTGGGTGCTGTGGGGCTGGAAGCATTTTGGGATGGAGGGGGAGATGGAGAGGATGGACCTGGTCCAGCGTGTGGACGGGGTTTCATGGCTCAGCATCCAGCGCACTGAGGGACAGATGAGCCAGTCAATCCCAAATATTTTGGCATTTTCACACACTGCATGTGCTGTCCCTGTGCCCACTGTGTCCCCAGCTGGGTATAGGAAGAAAAAAAAGAACAGCAGGATTTTGGGGCAGGGACCCCCACTTTTCCTAAACACCTCTGCGCTGGTTGAAGCGCAGGATGCTGTGGTGGATTGGGGGTTTCAGGGGTCTGTTTTGGGGCTCCTGCCGCAGTACCCAGGCACGGTTGGTCCCAGTTGCGCAGAAAAGGCACGTTCTGGTGCTGGGGTGAGACCTCTCCATCGCACCGCGTGTGGAGACCCTGGCACAGAAAATGGGAGCTTGCCCATGGCAAAGGGCATCGCAGCGCGGGTAATTAACGGGAACGGTCCCTTTCCCGTTAATTCAAGGCTCGGCTGTCGGAAGGAGCAGGCAGGGGCAGGTGCCTGCAGGTGGCAGCACGGGCACGGCCAATGCCGACCGCGAGCCCAGCGCTTTTTTGGTTGTCATCGACTCGACAAATCTGGCAGGAATTTGCCGTTTGCTTTGTGGCAGGGGTTTTTTTATTTTCTCTTTCTCTAATTTTTTAATTTATTATTTTTTTCTTCACGAGGATAAGCTTTTACAGCCAACGGAAGATACAGCTTTTTGGTTAAACAGAGCGTGATGTTTGGCTTAGAATGACTTGTTCGGTCCAGAGATCCAAAATGCAGTATTTTTAACTCATTTTTAGCTCTGAGGAACCGGGATGAGTCTCAGAGCTGGAGGGCAGGGGAGTGGTGACAGCATCCATGCAGCAATGCAGCAAGAACAGGGCTGCTCTCCCCTGACCCTGCAGTCAACACTAACACACGTTTTCTTCTGCAGAAAACAAGAATGAAAGCAATTTATGACATAGGGGATGACATAGGGATGGGTAGGACGTGGGTGTGAGGATGCTGAGGAGGGGGACCGAGGATGGGGGTGCCTGCACCTCAATTTTAGGTGGGAGCAGGCGTGGTGGAGGGTGGCCGGGCAGCGTTGGGCTGGCGTTGGGCAAGAGCAGATGCACATTCCCAGTCTGTTCTGCTCTGGGCTTTGATCAAATGTCTTATTAGCAGGAAAAGACTGCTGCATAAAGTGGGAAACGATAGCAAATTAAAATGTCATCAGGGCGTCGCACATTTTTGCTTCCGTAAGAGGAAAGCTTCCCCACACGGATTATTCTGAGCCTGTCGTATTAACAGACGTGAATATCTGAGGCTGGGAACCGGAGGAGCAAGAGAATATGAGGGCTGGGAGGCCGTTAAATCTATTGCTGTTGCAGAAAAGATGCGATAGGGCTGTGCTGTGATTCCGCGATGCACGTGGAGACGGAGATGGAGGATGTTTGTCACGTTTAGGTGGCTTTGACCTGTGTGTGTGTCCTGTCCTCGTGTGAGGGACAATGTGGGGTCCCCTCATCTCTTCTGGGTGTCCCCACAAGGTGCCAATGGCCTTGGTGGCTCCTACAAAGCCAGGATCCCCATTAGGACCCCAAGACCCCCCATTAGGACCCCGTGCCCGCGGTGCCAGCTCAGGGTAGCAGCCGATAGCCCCACGGTGATGGCAGAGGCTGCCAGGGCCAGAGCTTTGCTATTTACTGAGCTGATGAAGTAAAACATTGACCAAAACTGAAACCAATTACGCCGTGATTAGATAAGCAAGCTGGAAGTGCGTTAATTAATAATCACCGGCCCAGGAAGGCGCAGCCATAATGAGCCCTGTGCCTTTTCTATAGTGCAAGCATGTGCAAATACGTTCTTCTGCGGAGCGTTAATTAAATATTTTAACGCACGAGGGTGTTAATCCGGGTGCCGGCTGCTCCTGCACAGGGATTGTGAGTGCTGCTGGAGGCAGAAAGATGAAGGGAGTCATCCTGGGAGTCTTCCCCCTCTAAATCCTGCCCCAGCAGTGTGAGATGTTGGGGAGCGACCGAGTGGGATGAGGTGGTCAAGCTCTGACCTCTCCTTGCACTGAGCGAGGTTTCTGGGAGGCGTTTTTGCTCTTGGTGGGCAATGGGGGCAGAGGGATCCACACTGGATGCGCTGGCACGGCCTCGCTTACTCAGAGACGGAGATGAAGGATTTGGCAGCCGGCGTCAGCTGCTGTTAGGAGCGGGGTAGGAGTGGGTTCTGTGGGCTTTTTATTTTTTTACCATAAAAGTGAACCCCCATATGGCACTGCATATTTAGCAAAGAACTTTCTGGTCTTTATTTATCTAGCACATTACTCCTGCCTTCCCTGGGTATCAGCCATGAGCATCCCTCCCTGAGTACCAGCCATGAGCATCCCTCCCTGGGTACCAATCTTGAGCATCCCTGGGTACCAGCCGTGAGCATCCCTCCCTGGGTACCAACCGTGAGCATCCCTCCCTGGGTACCAATCTTGAGCATCTCTGGGTACCAGCCGTGAGCATCCCTCCCTGGGTACCAACCGTGAGCATCCCTCCCTGGGTATCAGCCATGGACATCCCTCCCTAGGTACCAATCTTGAGCATCCCTGGGTACCAGCTGTGAGCATCCCTCCCTGGGTACCAGCCATGAGCATCCCTCCCCGACCCCGCTGCATTGGCCACTCCGGAGCTCCTGGTAACCATCCCAGGGTGGGAAGGGCCTTGCCCTGCTCTTGCATCCATCCTGAACCTCTGGCCATCACCTCCTGCTTTGGGCATCCATCAGAGTGATATTTCTCCCCATGTTTTCCATTGGAAATGTGGGTGTCAGGAGTCTGTGTCCCTTCCCAAGCCCGTCCCTGCAGTTATGGCCGGCTGAGTAATTAAAAGATGCTGTCTGAATAATTTATTTGGAAACTACTGCAGGATAAATTATTCAAATCTCATTCAGCCAGCTCTACCTGCCCTGGCCCTGCAAGGGGAGCGGATGACTCCTCATTCCCATGGCAGTGGCACTGCGTCCCCAGGTACTTCACCCCCCTGCAGTGTCCCTGGGCAGAGGGGAACGTGGGTGCTGCCAGCACCACCCCAACCCCAAATTGCGTCCCCCCAAACCAGTGGAGTCCAGAACTCACCCACACACCCTCCTGAAAGCGGGGCGGCTTCTCCTCAGCCAGAGCTGGGCTTGGTACCAAAGTGATTTAAGAGCGGCTGCTTTAAATGGGATCGTGATATTCTTACTCATCACTATTAATAATGATGTTACTACTTCCTAACGATGCACAAAGCTGTCAGAACGTGACAGATGCAAAGCTATTTTACATCAAATTTCACTGTCAAGGAAATGCCATAAACGGCTGGAGAGGAGCACATTTCTCCCGCCGCGAGGTATCGCTACTGCGCTTCCCGAGGTTTTCCATTTTCTCTCACTTAATTGTTGATTTCTGCTTGAAAACTCATGAAGTTGCTTAAGGTCAAGCAGAAGCATTTTGGGTTTTTTAAATGAATAGATAAAATTATTCCCATTAATGAAATTTTTAGGCCTGCATGCTGAGATAATAACATGAGGTAATCAAATCTCATGCTTCGGGGCATAAACTGATTGACTGCGAGGGTCAGGAATTGCTTCTCCTCTTCCTTAAAGAAGTGAACAATGCCTGATAAATGACGCAGGTTTATTCATTTGTCTCCTGAGGACGTTTTGCTGGATGTTGGGACGCTGAAACATGCGGGCATTGGTTCAGTGGGACGTAATTTGGCAGATGAAGAGCCATGGTGCTGTGGTTTGGGCAGTGGTTCTGTCATCCAGCGCCTCCTCCCCACACAGGGAGGGGAATCGGGAATAGGAAAGGAGACCCATGGGGTGAAATGGAAAGAGATTTAGTAAAATAATAATTAGGAAAACAGTATTAATAACAGTATTAATATAAAGTACACAGTTATGCTCTGCTGAATAGGCCTGGGGAGTAGAATGGTGGATGAGACCCTCTTGGGATAACAGCCATCGAGGAAAGAGGGTCGTCCCCAGCCAACTCCCCAGTTTATAGTGAGTGAGACCTTTATGGTATGGAATAATTTCCATTGGTCAACTTGGGGTCAACTGTCCTGGGTTTCTGCTTCTCCCAGTTTCTGTACCTGGTTAACTGAGGACTGCAAAAGACCTCGATCATCACATACCAGTGCTGGCCAAAAACTAAACCAAAGTGTCTGGTCAGCTCATTCCCACTGCAAACGAGTGCTGGAGGCCTTTTAGAAATGCAGATTTCCTGCACAAAATACTGCCGTTTTCCTGAATAGGACACTATTAAGGATGGAGCTGTGCGAGGGGTGCAGGTTGGGGGGAGGTCTGGGGGTGCAGGGGCTCCCTGTACCAAGCACTTCCCACATCCATGAGCACCCAAAGCTGCTCCTGGTGGATTTCACAAAGCCCATGGAGCTCATTGCCAGCCAGGTTGTGTCCTAGGATCCGCTGTGAGACTGTTCCCTGAAACACTCTGGTGTTCTATAACTCAAGAAGGTGGTTATAAAGATTGCCTTCTTTCCTATCAAAAAGGCACAGATAAAAGCTTATAATGGTGATGAGAAAACACGCATTCCTCTGCTCTGATAAGGGGTGAGGAAGAGGAGGGCACTGCGGCTGTGTCGGTGCAGAGCCTTGGCAGGGCCCTTGCAAATTAAACTCATTACTCCCAGATTTCCCCCGCAGATTGCAAACCTTTCAGGTGCTGCAAAGCTTTTGACTGAGCCCAAATTAATCCACAGAATAACCACGGTGCGTTCTGTGGTGTTTATGTCCAAACCTTAAAAAAAAAAAAGCTATTCCTTTATTAAATGGCACTGACGATGACTGTCAGGACCCTCAGCACCTCCCTGGGGATCATGGCTGATTTTGGAGTGGGGCTGGATGCAGAGTCCCCAGGTCCTGGTGTTGGTTCCTGCTGGGAAAACCGGACCCTGCTGCCCATACAACCTTGCACCAGCAGCACCTCCCTGGTGATTTGGGAACCGCGCACTGGTTTTGACTCTTGCTGACTCTCAAAGCATCTCCTGACGTCCTGCAGCAGCAGAGCCCTCTTCCCCTTGGGATTTGGGGTGCACGGGGTGAAGCTGAGCCTGCAGTGACCCTGTGGCAGAGCTGCTGCTGTGATCGGGGGGCAGTGGCGGGTTCCCTGTTCCCAAACAAAGACCACTCTCCCAGAAAACAGAGACTTCTTGGCTTCATCTGGGGGAAGAGCCTTAGACCAGCCTGATTGTGTTTGATTCCTCAAAATTTGCCCACTCTCCATGGAAAGCGCCGTCCCTGTGCTCCCACCTCTCCCAGAATAAAGAAATCGGTGTAGTTCTGCTTACCAAGGTGCAAGAAAGGAGGTTTAAGCTGCTTAAAACTGAGCAAACAACAAATCATCCTATGGGAAAGTGTCAATAATCTCTTGAGGTGATTTTGGCCTCCCATGTCCTCCTGTATTGGCTTTCCATTGATAACTGTCTCGTTTCTCACGTAGCGTCCATGTCCACGCACGGGTTTTAATCACTATTTTCACACGCAAGTTGTCTACTGTTGGGTATCTGCATAGTCTGAATACTGAATTTAATCCTTCTTCTCCTCCCCAGTAAGAGATGCTAAAAACCTAGTTCCTATGGATCCCAATGGCTTGTCAGATCCCTACGTGAAGCTTAAACTAATCCCCGACCCCAAAAACGAAAGCAAACAGAAGACCAAAACTATCAAGTGCTCCCTGAATCCTGAGTGGAACGAGACATTTAAATTGTAAGTACGAGAAAAGCGTTTAAACTCGTACACTCATTTTTCTCACCCCTAAGAATTAATGCGATTGTATTTGCTCTGATTTAATTACTGAGAGACATTAAGCTGATTCAACTGAGAAATTATTCTTTTTGTCCCTGTGTGACTCACAAATGCTCAAACCTCGGCGCTGACCCCGGATCAAAGCTGAGCATTTTGGGGCAGGAACTTTGCCTTCACTGCTTGGAGGGGATGTGCTCGGGAAATTAAATATTAGAGATGTGCAGGGTTGTTGGAGCTCACCCCTTCATTTTGCATCCGTGTCCTTACACGGCACGGAGGGTACAGTGGTGCCGCAATGGCATCCCAAATAAACCCACCTTTTTCCTCTCCCAGCCAGCTGAAGGAGACGGACAAGGACCGGCGGTTGTCGGTGGAGATCTGGGACTGGGACCTGACCAGCAGGAACGACTTCATGGGCTCCTTGTCCTTCGGGATATCCGAGCTGCAGAAGATGGGAGTGGACGGATGGTAAGAGCGTGAGAGAAACATCACGGGCACAAAGCAGCCCCGACCCCTTTGTGTATGATGGGAGATGGGGGGACCCATCACCAGCATCTTTCTGCTGAGGACCACCAAGCTCTGCCCCTGTTGCTGGTACGTTCCCAGCCGTTTTTTGGTTGGATTCCCTTCGTTTCTGAAGAGCAAGGCCACGCAGCATCACTGAGCTGCAGCAGAGCACGGCTGGGTCTGGGTCCGGGGAGGCTGCGATTTGGAGGGGGGCAGAGGAGCAGGAGCGGTGCTGCTCAGTGAAGGGAGCGATGCTCCAGGGTGTGTAATTACTGCCGCTCGTTACCATACCAAAGATGAGCACCACGGGTCTGTAACACCACTGAATGGGCCCCTTCATTTCCATTTTATCTCCCCCAGCAGGACACATCCCGCCTTATTTCCCTTTTTTCACATGTATTTTCTTCCCAGCCGCTCATACCCAAGAGCTGTGTTACGTTACCTTTCCACATGGAGTGTAAGAATTGAATACAGGCATCGCGTGTCTTTTGGAAACCAAACCCGATCAATTCACATTCTGTGGGACGAGCAAACCCTTGGCCATGTTATGGCAGGGATGGGGGGCTCAAGGCTCAGCCCCATCCTCACTCATTGCAAACCCAACCCTGCCTAAGATGCAGGTAATGAGCACTGGGAGCTGCCGCGCTGCCAGGACCCGCTCATGGAGCCACCGCTGTGGGAAACACCTCAGAAATAAGTGATATTTCCAGAATTTCTGATAATTGCTGCTTGCACTTTATTTCCTTTTGTTGTTGAGCATCTTGGTGTTGTGCTCAGGGCTGTTGGCACCGGTAACACCCAGTTGGCCTTGGCAGCTGGGGCAACTGGTGGGGAAGGAGCTGGCCCACACAGCCATCATGAGAAAAATGTGCTTTTCTGTGGGTTTTGGGGCCAGGCTGGTGATTTGGAAGAGGCATCAGTGCTTTGTGGTGCCACGGATGTGCTCTCTGTATGGCGGTGGTTACTGTCCTCCGTACAGCTGGGGACCCCAGAAATGACCCCCTCCTGGGGTGCGTGTGTGGGTTTTGGGGGTCTCCTCACATTGGGGAGCAGGAGGTGAGGTCCTGCCTGCACCCCTGCCTGCTGGAGTCCTGCTGCCATCCCACACCCATGTTCTGGCTGTGCCCCCCAGGTTCAAGCTGCTGAGCCAGGAGGAGGGGGAGTACTTCAACGTCCCGGTGCCTCCCGAGGGAGAAGAAGGAAACGAGGAGCTGAGGCAGAAATTTGAGGTGAATTGGGGTTTTGGGGGTACCTGGGGGGTTTCCTTGCTTCCAATGTGAAAACGCAATGTGTGTCTGTGGTGGGAGATGGGGTGAGCAGGGAAGGGACATCCATTTCTGGTGGATGAGGGAGAGGAAAATGGTTCAGTGGCCCTTGGTTGGGTTGGAAATACAGCAGAGACCATTGCAGGGTGCATTTTGTGTAGTGCTCCACTGAGGTGGGCTTGACCCCGCGTCTGCTCCCCATGGGTGGGAAGGAAAATCCTATTTCAGAAAATCCCATCACTTCTAAGGGGTCATTTCTTTGTACCACAAAGAGAGTGGCACAGCAAACGCCCCCTTTCATTCCTATCATTTCAGCCGATGTCTTCCTGTTAGGATCCCACAATCCACAATTTGTGTGTACCAAAATGAGTGTAGCATCACTGGGAGAGGAGCTGCTTCGGTCAGTGCATTCCCAGCACCGTATCCCAGTTGGGATGTGCGTATCCCAGTTACAGAGGGGTGTGGATCCAGGATGGCTGGGGTCCTGCTGCTGTCGATGTGGTGTTGGAGCAGCCCTGCCCTCCTTCCGCGTGCCACGTAATAGGATTTGTCCGACTGTTTTCTTCCGTCATGCTGCTGATTATGAGTTAATATAATGAACTAAGTTGAATTAAGATATTAATATAATTGGATTTGGAGCTCATCTCAGAAGGAAGCCTTACACGTTGTGGCAGCCACTGTCCGCTCCCGGTGCCCTGCGACCAGGCTGGGTTTTTAGGATGGCGCTGGTTGGGTGAGCTGGCGATGGTTGAGTGGTACCAGTGATCCCCAAGGATGCTCCGGGGGTGTCACCATGGAAACGCTGCCGGAGGGGTAATCCTGGGGTGCTGGGTGATGTATTTGGGACAGTGGTTGAGTTTCCAATAACACAGATAACCCATCCTTCCCAGGGCCCTGGGGGTGACTGAGTCCATCGGGGGACCCACAGGGCCCATACTCAAAATAAAATAGCTGCTGTTACAGCTGTCAGTGTGAACTCTGTAATTACAGCTCAGGACTGGACAGTTGGCTCCTTTTCCCCCTTTCTTTTTTTTTTAAATTCACATTTATCTCATTTATCTCTAACTTTCCTGAATATCCAAGGAAATATGACAGCTCTAATACAACCGCTGGCATACAACCAATGCTGTCAGCTCTATAAAGGGCAGACTAGCTGCTCTTACTGCATTTCTTGCTGCTCAGTGCTGTTAAAACGGGTTGGATGTCAAAAGTCAGAGGATGACTTGACTCCAGATCAGAAAATAATTATCCAACCGTGCTACATCCCCGTCCAGCTGAGCCCTGGTGTGTGCCAGTGCCGAGGGGGGTGGCACAAAAGCATCCCAAAACCAAAGCCTCACCCCGCATCCCCTGCCCATGCTCCATCCTCATCAGCCACTTGCTGGGACAGCTCGGTAGATGGGAACGTCAGCTGCCATGGCGTGAATTCAGACGCAGTAAATTAGCTGTGACAAATGGGGTTGGATGGTGAAGGTCAAGTGCTTTTTTTGAAAATCAAATTGTGAGCAGCGTTGGCCGCGCTTCAGCTGTAAACCTGAAAGAGGCCTTGAGGTTGTGTGAGTGTGTTAGAAACGGCATACAGGAGTTTTGTACTCGTTTGGAGATGGGCATTGGAGACATCCGGTAGCAGCAGCCAGACACCACTGGGGGTGACCGTTTTACATCTCCCCAGCTCTGATTTCAGGCTCTTTTCTGGAAGAAAAGACGTTTCCTGGTCCTGGCCAAGCTCCACGCTGAGCCTGCGTTATCAGGGAATCACTTGTGTTTGTGTCCTCCTGGTCCCCTATGGATGTACGAGATGCTGCGGATTCAGGCCAAGTGCACAACTGCTGGGGATCAAAGCATCTGCTCTCAAATGCGGGCTCAGAGCGGCTGTAGGTGACTGCAGGGACCCAAAGCCGCTCACGCTTGGGTGCTGGGTGCTCACCCGGGTCTCTGCTGGTCACGCTGTGCCCACAACTGCCCAGTCTGCTGGGGTGAAGCAAACAAAAATCCTCCTTTTCCCCTCTGTGTTGCTCTTTTCCGCTCTGCTCAGGACCAAAAGCCTCCCCCAATTTGGTCGGTGTTTCGGCGAGTGCCATGGCTCAGCCTGGTGCTGCTGGGAGGGTACGGACGCATCGGACATGGCCACGCTTTTGGGCAGCATCCTACTGCCCCTGAACCCTGTTAGAGCTCATTTTCACAGAGGTTAATCCAGTGTCACACCTGATCTGACAGGATAGTTTTTCAGCCGCAATGGAGTATTTGGGAAGCTTTGGCAGAATTTGACTCTTTTGCCTGCTGATGAGCACAGTTTCTTTTGGAGAAGCATTGGACGATGAGGGGTGAGCATTGCTGCGGGCAGCTTTGTGGCGTGCGGCTGCTCTGGTTCCCTCCCCGAATTCAGATCCCTCTCGGCCTGTGCCAGAGCTGGAGGTTTTGGCATCACAAATGGTGAAGGGTCAAGCGTTGGGTACCCGAGGCTGCGGCTCTTCCCACCAGAGGCGATGTTATTTTTCATTTGGAGATTGTGGCCGTCATTTCACCCTCATGTACCATGGTGTGTTCGGTGGAGGGAGCATCCCACCCGCAAGGGCTCTGCTGTTGGTCACTGGTGCTGATTGGCAGCAAAACGCTCCCCATCTTTTGGGGATGCAGCAAAAGCCTGGAGATTACAGTAAGGAAAACCCTTGTACCTCGAGAGCAGTGATGCTCTTTTCTTTTCCATGTTTTCTGCGTTTTCCCATGGGAAAGCGTCATCCACATGTGCGGGTACCAGCGGCTGCCGGGTGATTTTGGCCTCCTCCACTGCCACAGTTGCCAATCCCGGGTCCATTCCTTTGGTTTTCGGTGCGGGACATTTTCAGGCATCCGTGGGTGCTGCAGGCGACCTTGAAGGGAGAATTTTGCAGCACCACGAACCTTGCGCGAGCCAATTAGCACGGCACAGGCTGGGCGATTACTCGCGAGGCTCCTATCTGGAGGAGCCGCAGCCAGATCGAGCGGCTGCGGTCGGGTTAATGGAATTTCATGCTAGGCTGAGCTCAGCGCCAGCCCTGCACCGCCGCGTGCTCCCCAAAATTAAACCCGAATAAATTGCCAGATAGCTCCTACGAACGGCGCTTCAGCAAACCCGATAGCCCCCGAACCGATGAGGAGGTGTCGAGGCGCCGATGAGATTTGGTGTTTGAAAACGCGGGGGTTTCGTGAGGCGCCCCAATACGCGGTGGTGGTGGTGGCAGCGGCTGGGGGCTGCAGTGGGGGGGGGAGCGTTTGCTGCTCTTTTTGGCTCAAAATGGGTTTGGGGCTTCCCACATTCAGCCTGGAGTGTGGTTCCCTTTGGTATCAGGGAGTAACGGAGGTGGAGCTGGGTAAGAAGTGCTGTATTTAACCTTAATATATTTATATTCGCTTGTCCTTTTCTGGTGAGGTGAGAGACAGAGGCAGCTTTGAGGGAAAAAAGCTTATTTAAGCCTCTGCGCTGTGCTTAGGATGAGCTGGAGTGTGATATGGGGCACACTTGGTGGGAGGATGAAGTTCCCAGTTCCTTTTGGGAACTGGGAACCAGTTGAACCCTGCAATGTGCTGGGGCCGATGACTTCCCCAGTGCCCTTGGTCCTGTCCCTGCCATGCTGATGGGAAAAGGTTCTGTAGCTCAGTGTTTGAAAACGGCCGATTAACGTGGGATTTCGGGAGCGCTCCCTGGGTTTATAACGACCTTTTCCCACAGTTTTCAGTAATTTTTGCCTCTTTGTCTCCCCGTCCATCTCTGTCTCTGCAGAGAGCCAAGATCGGAGCAGGGTCCAAGGCAGCGGACGAGAAGACCACGAACGCCATCTCCAAATTCGACAACAACGGGAGCAGGGATCGGATGAAACTCTCGGATTTCAATTTCCTGATGGTGCTGGGGAAAGGAAGCTTTGGGAAGGTGTGGTGCAACGCATTTCTGCAATGCATTTCTGCATTTCACACCCGTTGCTGGCATTTCTGAGCTGCAGCCCAGTGGCTGCTCCAGTGCGTGTCCTTGCTCTTACTGGGAGCACTGGTGCCATGGTAATGGGAGCCCAGTTTGTCGGCTCCCTTCTGGGCTGCGTGGCAGTGATGAAGATGAGATGTCCCATCAGAACCTCACAAAAACCAGACCCTTTTTTGGTGTGTGCTGTGTCTTTAAAGCTCTTCTTTGTTTTTCCATTTCCTTGGCACCTCAGCAAGCAGGAGGGCACTGGGTACTGCCCAGTAACATGCAGATTTCCCAGTCTCCAGCTTGCTTTTGCCCCCATTTCTCTCCTTCCCAACACTTAATCCCTTTTAAAGTCAGTGCCTGGCATCTGGAAACTCTCTACTTGTATTTATATTTTTCTTCGCCCCCCCTTCCTTCTTTCTTTTAATGTGAGGAGCGTTAGCAAACTCCTCAGTCGGCATCAGGGCTTATGTAAGGGAATGTGTGACAGAAGCTGTTCCCTGAACAGCGTGTTATAAATATGGTAATTAGCGCTGATTAAACCAGCGCCTTGGCTCTGTGCTTGGATGCGGCCCCAGCCTCACGTGTGCCTGCGCCTGGCGAGGGGCGCTCCCCGTGTCCCCCCTTATCCTGCTCCCCGTGTCCCCCCTTATCCCACTCCCCGTGTGCCCCCTTATCCCGCTCCCCGTGTCCCCCCTTTTCCCGCTCCCCGTGTGCTCCCTTATCCCGCTTCCTGTGTCCCCCCATCTCCCACTCCCCACATTCTCAGCATGGGGACACCAAGGTGGTGGCTCTTTGGGTCTAATCAAGCTGTTTTAGAAGTCTCACGCATCTCTTTGTTAACCCTTTGGCATCAGCAGCTCAATTTACTGCTCAGTATTTTTCTCTCTCCCCCACTACATTGCCCAGGGTTGGGGTACCCATGTGTTGGCCTCGGTGGGGTTTAACAAACTTGCTTTTTCTCTGCGTTTAGCATCAGAATACCTCCAGTTATTATATTATGCTGGAGCGTTCCCAAACAAATACACTGTATTACAGGAATAAATCAAGTTAAATATCAGCTTTTTCTGCACCAAAAAAAAAAAAAAAGGGAAACATTTAAAAAAGCATGCAGTCGGCTTTTCGGAGCGTGAGCTGGCAGATGGAGTCCCCGCAGAGCCAGGCAGCGAGCTTTGGGGGTGGAAAAGAGCTCTGCTTTGGGAAATAGCCGGGGGCAGGCGCGGGGGCGTGCGTGGTCCCGGCTCAGCCCCCGGGCGTGGTGCGACCCCGGGTGCTCCGCGGGGGCCGGGGTCCTCCTGGGCTGCCCCCCCTGCTGCCGTCCCCCCCGGGCTGACACCGGGGCTCTGAGGGTTCGGGGATCGTGGCCGTTTCCCCCCCGGGCTGGCACGGGAAGGGGGCTCTGTCCGACCGGAGAGGGCAGCGCTGGGCATGGCACAGCCGGGGTGTGCTGGGCTGCAATGGGAATAGAGGGAAGTTAAATTACGGGGCTCACTCGTGGTTCTGCAGCTAATCGATCTGTCGTGCTGTCAGGCTTTTTGGGGGGTTTTGTGGCGGGGTTTTTTGTGGGGGTGGGTG